TTAGACTTTCAGTTTGATTTTCTTATCCATGGAAACGTGCAAAGATTTGAAGCCACTAAAAGTTTTGATCACAATGCCGAAGCAAAACCTCTTATTCAAATTTTCCAAGTATAATTGGTAACCACCAACGAATACCTTTTGACATATCTAGATCAACTAAATACAGGCTCCATGGTCTAGTATCTCCATTCTTTGTGGGATACAAGTTTCTTTACACTAGTACATTTCAATGCATATGGAGAAATAAACAGATCCTTGAAGACTTCACCTCTCTTCCATGCCTACTATTACTAGATCATTTTAGCTCATAGTTTTTTCACTTCAAGTTTCCCTTCCATTTTTCCCTAGGCTACCCACCCAAAGATAATTTGTTTTCCTCATCCTGACTATTTCTCTAGAGCCATATACAATCATATTTTCCAATCAGAGCAAAGAAAACCAGCACCTGTTCCACATTATTAGCTGATAAAGTCCTTTCATCCCAACTTAAGTAGCACTTAGGGTGCTTTTGATAAAACTGAAGTCTGAATTTATTAAATTATTGAATTGTTAAGTACTAAATTTAATACATTTAAGTGCATATCACATTCAGTGATAAGTGAATAACTTATCACTTAATTTTGGGAGCAAGTTTTGCCTAGAAAATTCAGTGTTACTTAATTAATTCAGATGTTCAATTTTTGGTTATCAAACGGTCTGAATATGTTAAGATCTGAATCCATTAAGTGTAAGTGCTGAATTGGATTATCAAACAAGGCCTTAGTGTGCAAACTGAAGTCTGTAAAATAAGTGGTCTGCATTAGGAGGAAGGGCATCAATGGGAAATCTCTCTTCCAAGAAGAAATTTAATGATTATATGAGGGCTATCCAGCAAGCAGATATAATGCATGATTGCCATTCAAAACACAACCAAAAGGACGAACACAGTGTCAAAATCTTAACAAACAACACTACTGCTTGTGCACTTAGAGCAGAATTGCTTAAGGATGATAGATGTAACGAAAACTGGTATATAGAACATACCGTGAACCCCAATGGCAAAAATCTGAAGACACAGAGAAGAAATTACTAGGATCATCTACATATTTTGCTAGCAACTGTCCATAAATAGCTTCATTTTCAGCACTAAGAGCACCAACCAAAATGGGCACAATCTTGACTGAGTATCTGCATTGACATCCTCAATAAATTGTCCTCTACAGAGATTAAACTATTATTGAACTAATCCACTACAATCCTACCCTTCAAATACTTTAGCAAGATATGGCAGGTGCATTTCCATGCTGTGCTCTGCTTCGTCAACTCGAAGATCCATCATTTCAAATTTCCCAGTAGCTTTCAGCTCTTCAATGACTGGTAGAAAACCTTACTTTAGTTATTTTCAGAAAAAGTAATTATGAAAAACATTGCAACAGACAAATAGGCTTCAATATTATGCCCCACTAACAATGCCAACCAGGTGTCTTTCGGTGCAAGTTTGATCTATCCCACACGGAGTTGACCATGGTTTGAGATCTGTTTTCATGCCAAGTTCCTACAATTATTTGTCCTTTTCTTTTAAATATCACATACATGCACACAATAGATGCATAGATTCTCTTACTGCCTGAGGCAACTTAATAAAGTGAAGTTAAAGCCCAAAAATTAACATGTAATTTGGTTTTTGTCACATGGAGTCCTTGCAGAATCTTTCATGCATATTCGCTATTGGAACAAAAAGGAAGTCCAACATTTGACTTATATGTTACCTAGAAAGTTCACACTGCTCATACTGCAGATATCTCTAGAAAGACAAAAAGTGTGGACCATGAGATGTAGATGAAAATACCTTCAAGATCAATGGGTAAGTCACCTACTGGTGTTTTGTAAACAGTGGCCCTTGAAAGAGCACATCTTGGAGTATAATAGTGGTGAGATGGACCAAGAAGAAACACGCGAGAACTGCAAAACGTAAAGGCCTGATTAAAAAGTTCACCTGATCGAACAGCATATTTACGTGGAAAGACGTACCGATGGATCTCCAGTTTACTGGAAATGAACAGACAGAGAATGTAGATAAGGGAGAAATAACGCACATTTTCTCAGGGTCAATGTTACCAAATGCAAAGGCTGCTGCGCGACCAGAATATGAATAACCTGCATGACTGGTGGATTTCATGCAGTTAAGATTAATAGTGTCACTGGTACAGGTGACATGGCTAGTGGAGGTTAGCTTTTAATGGGGTTCATGAATGACTTACGGTGCAATCACACCTCGTACATCAGAAGACTTCGTCAATCCAGCTGCTTTGAGCCACCCATCAAGCTCCCCAGCTAACTGTGTTGCTGACAGAGAAAACATAGCAAAGTGTTAAACTTGCCACTGGAATGCACAATAATAGCATGGCCATCTGTAAAAGGAAAAAAACACTTTACAGGTCACAAGGAAACTCAATAGGCTAAGCCTAGTTTACACAAATGCATCATCGCCATCAATCATCACAGACAAGATATGCATAGGCACTAAGAAAGATAAACAAAAGCACAGGATATCAGGCAGCATTGAGTGAAGCGATCAAAAATCAATCTCGGATAATATAGATGCAGAATGGCCAACTCCAGGCTTTTTTCCAAGAAACCAGCAAATCAATTGACCATCACACAATATCAACGAACAGGCAAGAGGTTGGAGAAAGAGTGATGACACGCAATCCTCAGCCAATATAGTAGCTCCCCATAATCCCAAACTGCTACCACACATCCCTTCATCCTCCAACTTGAGCGAGACCAACACGCACCAACAAACAGATACTCGGCACTAATTTCTATCCTTTAAAAATAAAAATAAATAAAAACACACTGTTTTATCCCAAAATTGTTGGGCAGGGCACAATCAGGAGCTTACCTGTTTAAGCACAGTAAAACCAGTTTCCTCAATTTCCCACAAGCAAATATACAAGTCGTAATCAGACAGAGCAGAGAAGTAGCACAACAACTAAAGAATTCAATGCAGCCCAGTTTATAGGAACTGCAAACAAGGCAAATTTGCCACCCCAAGTCCAGAGGTTTTGGGGAAAAATTAGCACGAACAGGTAGCAGCATATCAAGAAGAATTCATTGAAGAGGTAGCAAAATTAGTAAAGGCACTAACGAGCCCAAACATGATTCCTACTAATAAAACAACAAAAACAAATAAAAAACAAATCTTTATAACTATGAAGCTATAGTAATAAATAAAAATTGAAACTTGAGCGGAATGGGATATCAGATGCCGTCAGAAACTGGAGGGAAGACTTACGATTATCGGTGTACCAAGAACCAGCATGCGATGCTCTCCTGATTCTCTCCATTCCTACTCAATCTAGTAATCTTACTCTTCTAATCTATTTTATTTATTCCCAAATCAGTAACAAATTGGTTCCAATCAGTTCGCAGCTCTAATAACAGAAACGAAAAGGGGAAAACAAAAAAGCAAAAAGGCGAATGGGTAGAGATAGCTGAAGAGCAGCGTGTCGGGAACAGAAAATGCTGCGTGGCAGAGTCACTAGTCAGTGGATTATTCTCCCACGCCTCTCTTTCTCTTACTGCTGCTGGACTGGAGACTGGAATATTATTTATTTATTATTATTCTCTAGAGGGTTCTGGTTAGCTAATCTCCGGTGCATCCTTTCTTGCTGCACTTCCCGTTCCTCGCCATAGGATCTGGGAGCGTGACTGGGACCGCATCAATCATATTTTTGTGTTTTCTATCCGAAAATATTCCTCCGTTTTAAATAAAAAAAAAAAAAAACTTGTTCCCTTCTTTTGTCTGGATGAGGGGCGGGAGCGGTCATCAGAAGAACCGTTTCTGAGCTATTCACGGCTAAGATTTGATTCAAAAAAAATGTACGATCCAGATCACTTCTTGTACCTCTTTTTTAACAATATGTGTGGGGCCATAAAAATTTGTTTTAAAGTTACACGTTGTGCAAACAAAATTATGTTATGTGCAAATAAAATTACACGGTGTGCAAAATGCACAAAATCGCTAGGAACGGCAACCGTTCCTGCCCGTGGTCCCTCAAGAGAGAATATATATATCATGTCTGGATCCCTTTGGACCTAAGCAAACTCACAATTTTACGATTACATTATAGTATGAAAATAGAAACATTACATTACATAAGTAATGCACATATCAAACTCTGTCAATATTTTGTTTACCAATTATGCACAAGTGATTAAAAGGGAGGCGATTAATCTTGTATATACAGTGTATACGCTAGTAACAGTGGATGCATACCACCTAATCTCAAATTGAATTTTAGTTTACATCTTTATGTACTACTCCGCATATATACTATTTATGCATACAAGACTATACCGAAGCTAAATGGTCAAATATGTTGAAACTTGAGATACATTTTTATATTAATTTAATTACCCTGAGTGAACTCAATAATATTATTGAGTTTAGAAAATGTGTATTATTTTTCAATTTAGAAAAAAAAAAAAACTCCTCCTTTTGATTTCTTCTATCCTTTTTTTTTAGGGGTGAGATTGGAGGTGACGCTTCCCATGAGGGGCAAAGAAGTGAATTTTGGACAGAGACTTCTTGCAATCCTACCTGAAGCCAATATATATATATATATATATATATATATATATATATTTTATAATGTAGACACTAATATAATAGATATAGACACTAACGTGACAAATATATATATATATATATAGATCACGAGGCTACAATTTGGACACTAATATAATAGAATAGATACAGACCCTAAAGTGGATAAGATGAAAAAACATATAGTAGTAATAAATTTTCTCTCATTGGAATCTGTGCCCAAAAATTTTGTTGTCACCGAACCTCAGGGGAGAATGTTACAAAAATCAGAGTAGTGCTGAGATAAACTAGTGTCTGTTTTACTGTACCTTGCTGTCTGATCCAAATAAATGACAAAAATCAGTGCCCAGAAATTTGTTGTCACCGAGGGACTACAGGAAAAACTATATATAAAAAAAAACAATAATTATAATAATAATATTCGTATTCCAACCATTTCCGCTGAGGAGAAGCAACACAATAATAAATATTCTCGTCTCTTTTAGCAAAAAAGCTAGAATGAGCTGTGGTATGTATCAAAATAAAACAAACAAGATCACACTACTGCAGGCTATCCCCGCAAGACTTTTACAACATGATGAATATAAGCAAGTATACACTCGAGACATATTTGTCTACAACTGACCTTTTAAGAAACCGAGACTACTCCCCAAATTTCGCTCAAGGGGGAAAAAAATTTTTGTGAAAGATTGAAGAAATTTTTTTGTATCCCGTGAAAGCTACCTAGTTTGCAAAATCATCACTCAATGGTGAACTTTTTTTCTTTTTTTTTTTTTTTTGTGTTGGCTTCCAGAAGCAAATCAAAAAGCAAGTCGTCAAGAATCCAGCAACCTGCAAGAATGTGGAAAAACATGTAAATTCATGATTACCAAAACCAGGGCAATGCTACAAACACACAATGATATACTCTTGAGCAAATCATGATTGTAAGCTTTTACCAAACAAGCATGTGACACCATTTTTGCACTGATTCGAAGATCATTTATTTTCTTATCTTTTAGTGATTACACTGCAAAAGAACAAGCCCGAATCTTGATTCTGGAAGTAGTATTACTGACAAATCCAATTGAAAAAGCAAAAGGCTTAAGCTTACATAGCCCTATTGTCCAGAAAAGTTGGGACAGGAAAAACTGAAGATGCCTAAGATCAGTTTCAATTGGTAAAGGACCAGGACACTCAGAAGATAGCTCTCCACTCTCATTAGACACCAGCTCTACTACTCTCAGACACATGTCCAACACTCCTTTGCCTGCCTCCGTGACACCAAGAAAAGCCAAAATCTCAAACAGGAATCTTTAAACAAGAAGATCAACAAGCATGTCATCATTGCACCATAAATGAGCATACAATTAGAATTTTATGACGTATGCAACTGGACATAAAAGGCTCTGATGTCTCCCTAAGACCAAAGCTGATAGGATTGGTAAGATGACCAGAATAAATAGTTACATAAAAACCTCTTAACAAAAACAACGCAGGGCTTCTTCCACATGCAGTGGTTACCACTAGTTTCCTTGCACTGAGCCCAATTTTAGATCAAATCCTGATTGGACTGTAAACTGTTGTACACTAGAGAGTAACAAATCCTCGTGTCATAAGTTCTATATTTGTGAATCATGTCCTTTACCTAAACTAACTCTTTTATACACCTGTAGGAGCAAGAAGCATGCGTCAACCCTTTCAGTCACAGTACTAGTGGGGTGTTCACACACTTGATTAGCCCCTTTCATATCACCACACAACTAGCTCATGCTGTTTCAGTTTCCAGGTCGAAAGAAAATACATATACTTTCATACTAATCTTTCAGAATGCTGAATATGCTTTTATCCCTTGTAATCTTAAGTTGCTTAGAACTATTTACTAAAAACTGTAATAGAAAATTTTGGATGATTGTAGGACACAACTCTCCCCATTTTTGAGTATCGAATTTTCCACTAATGCCAGTCTTGCCAAACATAAAGCAACACTTCACTTTCCCCTCAATATGTTCATGCCATCTACTAAGCTAAAATTTCATCTTTTTTTTCCTCCTATTCTTGCTTTTAGGATGCAGCTTTACTGTGTGACGTACAGTTTCACTCATGTCAGGCTTAGAATTTCGGATTTTGCTTGTCCATTTTCTGAAACTATGACTCTTTCAATCTTCAACATTAGCTTTGGATAGTCTGTTTTGCCAGGGCAGAACAGAACACTGGAGAAAGCCCAACATGATAAACCAAGAAAAGGAGAACTTGCCATTTTCAGTCAGGTTTTATCTGATAGTTTGACGCTCGAAAGCCAATATGATAAACCGAGAAAAGGAGAACTTGCCATTTTCATTCAGGTAGTTTGATTCTCAATTTTATTCAACACTATAACAAACAAATGAGGCCACGAGTTCTTAATGCAACAACTAGAATTTGGAAGATCAATACTTCCCCAGGTAAGGGACATAATAAAGCTAGTAGGCAAACAGCAAAAAGTGGTTTCTGGTCATTCTCAGCCCTCCATCAATCTTTCTGCGCATAATCTGGAATTATCTTAACCAAAGTGCTGTTCTCTTAGTTATATTATTGACTCCTTTTAAGCCTGAAAGAAACACTGAGATAACTACTGATTAATTAACATCAACCAAGGACAACTCCAAGAACATAGTGAAAACATCTCCATAAGGAACGAGTCATGTGCATTTATAAATTTGAGTGTCAGGCAATAAACTGTACATCAATGTCTAGAAATTGTCACCTTATCTGTTTCTGCACTAATGGGTGGCAGTTGGAGGCAAGGTTGAGAAAAGCTTTGTAGTTAATATAAACCATAATAACTAGGCTCATAGTTAGACAAAACTTGAAAAATTTCCCCTGTTAAACCAATGTCCTTAGAAGCAATGAAAGACAGACAGCAAATTTGCTAGTTTTTCTTTGTGGAAAGTCAGCAGGCAGCTAGAAAGAAAACCAATTTCTGAGCATCACTTTACCTTCGTAGTATGCAAGCCATTGGACAATGAAGAAATAATAGTATTATGCAAAATCGCCAATCACGAACATGAAACCTTAAAAAGTCTGTAGCATAGAATGAAGTTTTGGAGCCCGACGACGGAAAAGAGGTTCTAGCCGGAATGTTGAGACACCAGACTGCCACCTATTAGCATCATACATCTCATTCCATGCCTGTACTATCTCATCAACTTCAAAGCCTAGAATTGCAGCAAAGCAAACTAATTAGTACAATCACATTTTAATGCATTTCAAGGAAGAAAAGATGCATCAAGCATTATCATGAAGAGATTGCAATGAATAATTAATTTACCTTCCAGAGCAGTCTCATTGGAACAATGGTTCTTCACCATTACTGCTATGTCTGTAGGAGATGCTCCAGCAAGTTCAAACTTTTCAATTGCAACCTCCAAGCATTCTTCCCAAGTCGGTAAACTCAGCTTAAATTCCACAACCGAGCGTTCGTACAGCAACGTCCCCCAGAGAAGGTGTATCTGAGATCTCATATTTGCAGCCTGCTCTGCAGCTTCTTCAGGGGATGCGTCTTTAAATAACCCATCTAATCCCAATTTTTGCAGCTCAGTTTTATGCTTATCTGATTTCGAGAGGCCATTTAGTCGCTCCTCCTCCATCTCTTCCCACATCTGCACGCCTCTTTCCATGCTATCCTCAGCCTTGTTGTACAGCTCCAAAACTTGTGGAGAGGCTCCCATCTCTAAATCGGCCTTGCTTCCAATAGCATAATACCATGAGAGTTTTGCATGTTCAAATCGCTGTTGGCCAAGAGCAAGAAGACCTTCATAGAAGTCTGGCTTGATTCTAAGAGCTTCTTCATACCTCATTCCCGCCTTAACATATTCCCTTTGTGCCCATTCATAAGCGGATTTGATGTCTGCCATTGCAGATTCCTTAGAACCACCCTCTTCTTTGAAAAACACTCGCTTCCTTGCCCTTGACATGTGAACATTTCCCCAATTAAACATGGCTAAAGCAGCCATCTCTTGGAACTTCAGTGCAGCAATTTCAAAAAGCTGTTGTGCATCTTGACTTGTGATCGTATCCTCCATAGCTTCTGAGTATAACTTCATCCCTATCTCATGAAGATCCAAGTATGAGTCACACTCAAACCCAACATGATTCTTGAATATGCGTGCAAACTGGATAATCCAGTCCTCAACACAGGTTTGACCTTTGTCCAGTTCCAAGCCTTTCTCCAAATTCCCATTCTCCGCAACAGTAGACAATTTGCTGGTGCTGTTAAAATCTTCAACTTCATTGCTCCCATAAAATGGTTCTTTCTCAGGACTAACTTCTGAAACATATAGTCTCAAAAAGCCCTGAAGATCGCCTGATGTCTCGGCCAACCTCAGCTCCTCAGTCGTGGTGATTGTAACCAAGTCACCCTCTTGGTCCTTATACTTGATAAGCACAGCATGCAGACTTGGAAAGCGATCCAAAACAACATCCCTCACCAGTCTAATATTGCAATTAACTGGTAACTGGGCCCATCTTATATCCTCTCCGAGAATCAATTTCACAGTCTTGGTGGCCACTTTTTCTTCCTTAACGCTAAGCTTCTCCTCCACAACAACCTTATCCTCAGCCTTCTTATCTGCAGGTTCCTCATCTCTCTTTTGCTCAACTTCCGAAACCTTCCTCTTCTCAAATCTATTACTTTTCTTCTTTTTCAACTTCTCTTTCGTACTCTTGCTCGATATGGATGGAAGGGGAGGCTCAACATATTCAGGGGGCAGAACAATTTCTTTATCCTCGACCCCCTTTACCTCAACTGCCTTCTTCACCTTCTCAGCAATTTCTAAAGCAGTTAGATTATTAGGTTCCATACTCAAAACATTGTTAACATCCCTTAAGGCCAAATCAAGCCTGTTCAAAGCCTCATAACACCTAGCCCTCTTCAGCAAAGCTTTACTATATTTAGGAGCAACTTCAAGTGCAAGATTGCATTCATTTATCGCTCTGGGGTACTCACCAAGCCCCATTTGCATATAGCAGGCAGCCATGTTGCTGCGCAAGTAAGCAACGTCAATATGGTTTCTGGGGAGCAATTTGAGAGCTTTTTCATACTTCAACATAGCTCCCTCATGGTCACGTTTCTGAAAAAGTTTGTTCCCTTCTTCCTTCAATTCTTGGGACATATTAATGAAGACAGCTGTGTCTTCATCAAATGCTTTAGAGGTACGATCTGGAGCTTTGCCAACCTTAGCAGCATTTGAATCACTGCGATTTAAGCCCACAGGACCTTTCTTCTTCCCGGTTGGTTTTCCCATTCTCCTAATCCAACAGCGGCCCAGTAAAAAAAATGCTGAAAAACCTCGTCTGACTTTTTGGTACCTTTTTATTCAATCCCACTTCAGATGTAGAATAAAGAACACTCCCGGAAGAATCTCCAACCTTCATACAAACCAAAAGAAAGCAAAATAAACGCTCAGAAATTTAAATAAGAAAAGGTCAATCAAGAATGGACGACAAATATTCAGTCAATTACACATAAAGCCCATCAAAATGGGAGGCCAGAAGAAGAAGTAGAAAGAGGAGAGCTTTTTGATTAATCTCAAGGCCTACAAAATGGAAACGGAAGACACAGAAGCAAAACATGAAAAGCTATAGAATCCCTTTGAAACAAAAGCCACGTCGTAACTATTTTGGCAACCACAAATCAGTTAAAGGCAGAGAGTCTTTCTACAACTTCAAATCAAAAGGAACCCAAAAAGACAGAAACTTTGAAGAAATATTAACCCACAAAGAAAGGGGAATTTATTGGAATGGGGAGGGGGGAAAAAGACTAACGAGTTACCTGCTAAAGATCCTCTGATTATCTCCCCTGTTGGTGAGTCAAGAAATTAATCAAAATTGCCAACGGGGAGATTGAGAAGAAAAGGAAAAAGGAAAGAGGCAATAATCCGCCTTTTCTTCTTTTTTAAATCTGTGATTATATCAAAGGGAAATGAGATGACTAATGGGAGGCAAATAGAGTAGTAATATGATTAAGGCTTTGCAAAAGAAAAAGGTGGAATTGGTGTTTATGGGGAAATGATGAAAAGGTCAAGAGAATGTTTTGTAACTTTGGCCTCTGTTTATGCATGGAATATGGGATTATTCTAAATGCAAAATGAAAGCAGTCTCAGTTCGTACTATTATGATGTGAATTAGCTCAGCTGAGAATGAATGAATGATGAGTGCTTATTAAGAATTATTACTGAACAATAATAATAATACATGAATAATTGGAACAGAGAACTGTGCATATGCCTGTATAGGGTTTGTTGGTTTTCATGAATTGGAATTCGTACTCAATCCTGGCTTTGTTTGGGAGCGGGACGTCAACGGGCCAGGTTTCCCGCCGCCTGCCCTGCTGCGGACCGCCAAAGTCCCCACTCCCTCCTACCAATAATGAATAATGAATTGCGCGCCACTTGGTGGTTTCTATTTCAACAGTACTACGTATTAAGGACCTGAAACCACTACCGGTAGCAGGCAGTAGTATATTAGTCTATTAGTTACACGAGAAAAGAAGATTTTGATGCACAAAAAGATTATTAATCTATTTTTCTTTTTCTCCGTTCAATGTGAACTTTTGAGTTTCATGGTAAAACAAAGAATCTCACACTGTCATTTGATTAATGTACCTATCAGCTAAATTACGTTTGGATTGTATTTTTCTGAATTTTTTTTTAGAAAAATTACTGTAGCGACTTAATATATATAAGGTAAAAAAGTGATTGAAAAATGTACTCACGAAAAAACGCAACAATTTTTCTTTGAAAAATTACTTTCCAAACAAGGAGTTTTGGGATCAAGAAAGGACTACAAATCTTTAGAAGAGTACACGTGCATCACAGGCTCAATTTTTGTTCCATTTTTTTTTTTTGTCAACACAGGGAGTTTCCAACTTTGTCGGACTAATCTCCCTACGCTTGTGCACCCCGCTCCAAAAAATACACAAGCAATAAAAAAGTGATTTAAACACGCGATCTCGACACCTAAAGAGGCTACCTAGACACCATCCGAGATGACTCAAATTTTGTTCCATTGACATAAGAGAATTTACATACCCAAAAAATAAAACCAGAGGTAGACATGAATGTGGGTGGGGGCGGCAATGGCTGAATCATAAAACCAGAGGTAGCATAGTATGGTAGTTGTAAGTTGTCTCAAAATCATTTGTCAAATTTTGTACACATGATACCTTGGAGGGCCCCCGCTTTGCTGAGAACACTAGTGTAATAAAGAAGATATGCCCCAGAGAGAAAAGAACATTCCTGTCCGGACCTCTGGCAGACACAAGGAGGTGGCGGCGCCCTTCCAGTTCCACTAAGATGATGCTGTTTTCTACTCTAGACTCCAGTGCTGCTTTGTTTGCTTTGACTAGTATGCTGCTGGTATTAATATTTAATACCATCCATCCTAGACCTAGACTGGTTCGACGGAAGACCCGCGGGCGAATCTCACACATAGGCCAGTAGTAGTCAGTCGCATTCACCCCGCCGTGGAAGACCCGCATGCAGAATTCTTTTGTCTGACTACATACGCAGACTTTGCATACTACTACCATTTCATGGCATCACATCAAGTACGGAGACAAGTAATAGCACTCGTTTACCATTATTGTTCCAGCTCAAATTAAACAATCCTTCAAGGCGAATACATTTACTGCAGCGGGGGAAAAACCTGTCTCGAGGAGTCTGGGGGGTCTTTATCTCTTAGCAGCGGGACACCCTGTGGGGTTAAGTTCCCACATCGCTTGGGGGGGTTTGGGGGGTTTAGTAGTTAAGTGCTGCGGAGCACTTCAAAAGTTGCCGGCTTTTGAAGTGTCTTCGCAGAGTCCATTTATCGAAACACTCATACAAAAAACTGTGAGTTATGAAAGGGAATACATTTACTGCATCTAAAAGAAACGAATCTAGCTCAATAAATCATTTGAGTTCCCACTATATACAGCATATAACTTCATACAGCATGTAACTTCAAGGCGAAGACGAAGAAAACTCCAAATCATGGACTATAATAAGCCCATAAACCATCTCACATCCATGCTTCAGTTAAAACTCCCAGTCCTGGCCATGACACACAGCATCATGTTAGAAACGGTACGGGTGCCATGCATGGTTAATCCCGTGATTTACAAAATATTCATTCAGCAAAATGCTAATCATTGTCGCCTTATCACGTCGTCTGAACCAGTCAGTATGCACAGCACTGAACGTCAGAATATCAAGTGGAAGTTGATTATGAAAGCAGACGAGATATGGAGTATTTGCTTCTGCAGTTCCAACAACAAGATAAAAAGTTGAAGATCCCTGCTTCTGTTGGTTGAGCAATGTCTTTCTCCCGCTTCTGCAATACTCTTATGAACTCGTCAGAGCTTAAACTTCCGTCTCGATTTGCATCAAAAACATGGAAAATTATTTCGATCACATTGTCAGTGAGAGAGACGTCACATACCTGCAACAGATGATTGATTTCATCAGAACAAAACACGACAATAGCAACATCTCAACACAACTACCGCTAAAAGGTTATCTTTTTAAACCCGAAGATTCAATGAGCAAGCTAGGGCAGATTATTTACAAGAATATGTGCATGCAAAAGCGGAATTGTAACATGGATATGGAGAAATGTAACCTGACAGGAACCATATCTCCAGGGCTCATAAAAACAAGAAAAATTGATTATTTTGGAAAATGAAGAGAACACCATTTCTGAGTTCAGGAGAATATATACTAATTCACAATTGGAAAATGATTAGAAGATATGGAGATCCTACTTGAGAAGCAGCTCGTTTGAAATCCCCTTTTGTCAAGAGACCATTCACTTCTCCAAAACTGAAAATTGCAAGCGAGAATGGCTGCAACTTTTTACGAAGCTCTGCAAAACTCTTGAATTCCTCAAGTGTAATACGGACATTGCTGATATGTGGCATTTTGTCCAAGTCATCAACACGATCATGCAACTTGCCTAAATGCTTCAGATCAGCAGCAGCTACCATTGACAACGCAAAGTCTTTGGCGGATATGGTCCCTCGGCACTTGTAATCATAGTGGGAAAACTCCAACTTCAGCATCTGAAAAAACCATTTTCATTAAGCAAAATAACTGAGCATCAAGGCCAAGCACGAAATTACTTTGCAGCAGTTGAAATCACAAAACTTTCTATAGAACTAAGAGAGAAAAAGAGAGATTACAAAAAGTGAACTTTCTAGTACTCATTCTTTCTCAATCAATTGGATACCCCAGTGAAGGCCAATATATTAGTAAAGAAACATAAAGACATCAGATGAACCTCGACTGAGAAAACCTAGTACAGCACATTCCAAATTAATCAAGAAATGATGACACCTTCAACCAAAAATCCATCCAAATCCAAAGTTACTTCTTACAGTAAAATTCCTGAGCAGTAAAACAATTATTCCAGCAAACTAATCACAAGATATCATTTACAAATCTTGTTGGAACCAGGAATGTGGAATCAGAGCATGGAACTGGGACAAGAAACATAGGTATATGGCTATGTAATTTAAAATAATAATAATAATGATAGGGACAAATTGAAGTTGGTGTCTAAGACAAAATAGAGAACCCCAAAATAATTTTATCCATTCTCTTCTCTAAATGACGCTGGATAAAGTGGAAGAGAAAATTATACTTCATCATGAAGATCTCTCAGAAATTGTACGAATTTATCATGGTGAAGGCACCTCTTCCCATCTTCACCAAAGAAGTATGCCACTAGGCCTCCGTTTTCTACTGAACCCCCAAGATTATGCCCTGCTCGAAGTCCATCCCTATGTAAAGCCCCTTGCCTGTTGTGAGCTCGCATTAAAGCCATTACTTTCTTGAATTCCTCTCTGTGTATTTCCCTACCATCAGAAATGAGCATTAAATTATAAGCAGAAGGATGAAAAGGCATATGGTTTTTGAGCCCCCGAGAGTACTTCAAACAAAGTAAACCAAAGATAAAGAACCAGAAGGGGAAAAGGAAAATGGTAAAAAGAAGCATGAATTTGTTCAGTAGAAAGTTTAAAATTAAACAGTCTTTAGTGAAATGCATCATATGAACTACCTATTTAAGCAGTATTCCTACAAACACCAGGTATTAATCAACCTTTGAGTCCACTTTCGCTGATGCAACTCCATCAAAGAAGCTACAGGTGACGCATTCTTTACAGTCTCCTATTCATAGTAGATATTTTCTTTTTCCTAAAATTTAGCAGAAACATATGTATGAAAAAAATTATAATTTCTAGTCTTTTCCTTTTGTTCCTGCAGAGACTATAACCTATATGTATAACCAAAGCAACAAGAAACTAATTTTTGTTCCAAACCAACAGAAAAATAAAAAACAAATTGACTGAGTTGGCTACTTGCGTAAAAGTTGCATGAATTTCCCACCTATTACAGTCAAGGTCAAACATCTTAAAAGCCACCGAAAAACTGGATTCCGGAATGCTGAGTAGTGTGACAAAGAATATATACCTGTCACAGTAAAATATAAACTGCCTTCAGTCAACTGGGGAACTGCAGTTCTTGGGCATACAATGAAGGAAGAAAAGGTAGAATCAAGCGAGCAAATTGTAGGTACAAGACGTCAAACAATTGTCTTCACAAGGAAGAAGGCAAAACTCACTCCTTAAAAGATATCAGACCATCATTGTCCGTATCAAAAAGCATAAAGAACTGTGAAGGGGCACAACGCAATTCACCAGGAGTCCTTTCTCCTTGGAGATATCCATCTCGTACAAGGTTTGATTCAGATGGAGGAAAAACAGGAACAACTGCTCGCATCAAGTCTGCTGGAGTCATAAATATTTCTCCATTATCAGCACAGTGAGAAGCAAAGTACTCAAATACCTTCAGAAAAAGAGAGCAAGTTCTTGTCAATGGTCCATAACCATTTCAAGCATTAGTCAAGATGGAAGGCTCTCTAAAACAAGGGAAAATCAGTTGTTCTAAGAAAGAGTTGACAATTAAAGAATTTTTAACATCATTTTCTACTTAGAAGTCAGTACATCTTTAGGAATGAAATTGAAACTAAAGCCCCATGCAACTAACACAAAAGTACAAAGGAATAAAATTGAAAACAGGCCAAAAGACATGGAAGAATTGCTTAACCACCCTCAACTTCAATTTGGGTTGTCAACCTAGACACATGGACACAAGAAGTTTCCTTTACTTTTATGGGCTAAAGCATTCAGCTTCTGTTGGTACATTGCCCCAATCCCATTGCATAGGATTGAAAAGAA